CTTCTTTTTGTCACTTGGCACCAGTGTTTTTGTTGAGTTCAGCCAAAGACTTGATCTCTGAGCACACTGTGTGCTTTTGTGCTGTTAATCATTTGTTGTGTCACTCAGAAGTAGAAACAAATCTGACTTCACTACCCACAACCGCCAACACTAGTTTCTCTTTTTCTTCTCCGCAGTCAAATCCCTGCAGTTGCTGTTCACACACTCTAATGTTTGTTTTTTCTTTTCTCTTTTTCCCCAAAAGGCAATTTTGTCTTCCAGACCAGAGCTCTTTGATTTCCATGGAGTCTCAATGACTCACTATTTTACAGACAACTGGGAGAATGTTCAGAACTTTCAGGCCAGACCAGATGATATACTTATTGCAACATATCCCAAAGCAGGTCAGTCCAACAAACGTGTACAAAAACTATGGCTCATCAAAATGTGTGTATAGAGGTCAGTGTTGGGATCAAGTTATTTGCCTCTCTCTCTTTCTCTCTCTCTCTTTCTAGGAACTACATGGGTCTCCCAGATCCTTGACCTGCTTTATTTTGGTCAGACGTGTCCAGAGAGGCAAAAAACCATCCCCGTCTATGAAAGAGTACCCTTTCTGGAGATTGCCATCCCATCTTTGGATTCAGGTTACCAATCAGTCATATTGCTATGGCTATATTATCATGTTACCTGTTTCCCATATCAAAGTTTTCCTTACTCCATGTTCACCCCTCCATGCAGGGAAAGACCTGGCAGACAAGCTGCCCACCACCCCTCGACTCATTAAGACTCATTTTCCTGTCCAGTTTGTGCCAAAGTCCTTCTGGGAGCAAAACTGCAGGGTACAGTAACCTGTGTGCTGTTTTTCAAGAAGTTGGTAATAGTACTGATAACAGTGCAATCTAAGGCAACATGTCAGGCGTAACTTGAACCTTTAAGCCTAATAAGAAGCTCCAAAGTGTCTACTTCTGGTAAAGGTTTAAGATTTCTTTTTTCCATCTTCTGCAGATTGTTTATGTAGCCCGCAATGCAAAGGACAACATGGTGTCTTATTTCCACTTTGATCGCATGAATGGGATTGAGCCAGAGCCTGGAGAATGGAATAACTACTTCCACAGATTTTTGGAAGGACAAAGTATGCATAAATAATACAGTTATCCTTAGTGTGAGGTGTAGATCTTTTCCTCTCATTGCTTAAGTGTTGTTCTTTGATCTTAGTGGTGTTTGGCTCCTGGTATGACCATGTGAATGGCTGGTGGAAGAAGAAACAGACTTACTCAAATATACATTACATGTTCTATGAAGATATGATTGAGGTAATCTGATTTCTTCGTTGGCACTTTCTTCTGCATGTTCTCATGCTCTCATCCAGGCGGTTTTAATGCTGCGATTAATTCCATGATGTGTTTCCAGGACACTGAACGGGAAATAGACAAACTCTGCAGCTTCCTCGGTTTGTCTCGTTCAGCCGAGGAGAAGAAAATGATCTCAGGTGGAGTCCAGTTTGATAACATGAAAAAGAATGAGATGGCCAACTATTCTACAGCCCCGGTTATGGATTTCAAGATTTCTCCCTTCATGAGAAAAGGTACAGTGAACAGTAATGTGATGCATTTGGTAACATTAGGAAAAATACCTGAATTATTATTTTTTTCTGCAGGGAAGGTTGGTGACTGGAAGAACCACTTCACCGTCGCTCAGAATGAAGTTTTTGACGAAGACTACGAGAAGAAGATGAAAGATCCCACACTTCAGTTCCGCACTGAAATTTGAACAGAGCCAGGCATACAGACTGGATATAGTATGCAGCTACTGCTGTGGAGTGTGTATTACAAAGATCATCTAAATAAACTGTGGCATACATGTGACAGAATTATACAGTGGAATAATAAACACTCCAAATACCTTAATTTTACGCCTACACATTGTGCTTTTATTGTAAAACCTGAAGATCAATGCACGGAAGCCAAAAGCACAGTGAGGGGCTGTATTGTCAATTTATTTCTGCACTTGAGCTCAAGATTGCAAACTTTGTTCTCGAAAGACAAAGGTTTACAATGCTGTGAAAAAACAGAACCAGGTAGGTTTTAAGTAACATTTTTTTTTGTAAAATTGACTGTCTAATTTTTTTATTTTTTTTTGTATTATGAAACGTAAGTGTAACATTTCAGGCTGAGCCAGATGATACGCAAATTGCAATATGCCACAAAGCAGGTCATTAATAAAGATGAAAAAGAATAAAGATTTCAAATTGTCTTTCAGTCATTATTATTTTTGGAGAATGTGTCACAAGTATGCAGGGCTACGGTCAGCCTACAGTTGCTATATTGTCAAAAAAATAAAAATTACAATTTTTTTTTAAAGAAGCGTCTCTGCTTGGAGCACTGGATTGAGGATCGAGAGGATTAAAGTATGCAAATATGGATCAAGAAACAGAAGTAAATTGCAGACACAACGTCATTTTATGCTCACAGGGTTCAGAGAACAGAGACAGGTCTGCATAGAAAGTTATTCCAAGCCAAATATGAACAGCAAACTATGGCAGAGTGTCATAGTGGCTCCAGCCTTAAGTAGAAAGCCTGATTATCTAACGAGCCGCAGGTGAATATGATCAGTGACTCACTGACTGGCCGGCAGGAAGGTGGAGAATCAGGAAGAGCCACTACTGATGGGAGATAAAAATAACTCCCACAAACATACAAACACTGTGAGGAAAGAGAGAGAGAAAGAGGGGGGGGAAAGGTGGGCTAGTGCAAGAAACTTGGAGACCACGACAGATTATGAATGTTCATGCAGTCTGAACCTCCATCTCTTAAAAGTTGTACATTAAAGCAATACACACTGTTCCATAATGCTCAAGAAATGTAAAAATGCAACATAAAGTGTGCTAGAAATAAAGATCATAATAATATATTGGAAAGCATGAAAAAACAAAATGAAACAAGTACACTTTAAATACAACACTAATGCCTTTCACCTTCGTCCAAGAAAGAGATCCTGAGGCACTTGTGAATCCTGGTGCTTGGATCTTGTAGTTTAGCCATTGTAGGCATTGGAGAGTAGACAGTTGGTTGAGCAGGTCATCCATGCCTGCAGAGTCTTAGCATCCAAAGCAAATCTCAAATTGTGTCATCTATTGAAGACTAAATATTCAGTCAGGTTGCCAGCAAATGGCAGACTTGTTTCTGAAAGAGTTACTCCAAATGAGCCTTTACTTGGATTGAAGTTGATTATTTTGGGCCTTTTGAAGTGAAGAGTAGAAAAAGTACATTGAAGAGGTATGATGTCATTTTTACCTGCCTGGCTTAATAAGCAGTCCATATTGAAGTGGTAACTTCTCTGGATATAGACTCCTTCAAAAATGGGCTCAGAACTCTCAACTCCATGAGAGAGAAAAGACAGAGTTAGTTGTGTTTGTGTTCTTCACTGTGTAGAAACACCAAAACATAACTAACATTGTATCGCTGCCATCTGCTTTATGTAATGTTTGTTAGCATTGCTATATTTTCCCCATGCTCCACATATTAAGACAATGTCCGACATGATAACTGGTTCTAATTTACAAAAGTCAACACATGTGAATAACAACAAACATCCTAACAAAGACGTGCTGATCTATAGATTCTTTTTGCTGAAGCACACAGATCATCGCCAGACACATCAGCAGCTGCAATTTTTACAGTTCCTCTATTAGATAAAGGAAGAAACTATAATACATACACCATAAAAAACAAATTTAGCTTCCACTTATGCTATAAAAAACTAGGAAAAGTGCATGTGTGTGTGTGTGTTTTTAAAGTTGCAACCTATCACTATCCCTCATCCTATCCCTTGCATCCCTACTCTGTCACAACAGCTTCTCTATGTCCTCTTTCACTACCTCCATATTACTACATCTTCACTGGATTTTCAGATGCAAGGGAAAACATACAGTCATTTTTACAACAAACATTAAAAAAGTACTTTATTACAACTACAAAAAAAATGTATATTAAAAGTAAGGTGATAACATAATGGTAACAAAATGTGACTCTTCCTACAGAGTACAAGTAAGAGACTATATTGCACAGAGTATGATAATAAGATGGATATTAAGCTGCATCCTAGTAATTTAAGTTATTGCTCATTAATGTCATGGAATTTTGCAAATAAAGTCTGCAACATGGAAGAACTGTGGTCAAGCTATTTATTACTGCGTGCAGGAGAGCCAAACACACACATCAAACATTACAGTTCAAAAAAAAAAGTGAGGATAAACTAGAATTTTTCCATAACATTAATCAAATATTACCTTCCTCCCTCACTACCATCACTGCCCTCTGCTCCAATCCAAGCA